ATTTTTATCATCGATGGATTTATTGAATTTGTCTGTACCTACTTCCTTGTTTAGTGTATTTATATATTTACGTTTATTACCTTTTCCTACGGCAATGAACTCGACTTCATTTGTTGAGATTCCTATTGTTTTTTGTACCACTGGTTTTGTCTGAGTTCCAATACAGCGTTCTTCGTTTTTAGAAGCTATTTTATTTTGTAGATCTGCAATAAGTTTTTTCATTTCTGTGTTGATTTTTTTATGTTCTTCCAACGAGTCATTGAGTTCCATTTCTGATTGTTCTGCAGCCTGCATCAAAGCATTCTTCTCTTTGTGTAACAGCTCCATAGGTTTGTCTTTCAATACATTATCAGTTGATAATTCACGGACGGTTTGCTCCAACAGGCTCATTTTATTTAGCCCCCTGAATTCGTCGTACTCTTCGCAGCATAATATTTTGTTATCTTGTAAAAATTTCTTTTTATTTTCAAATTTTTTTTGGATACAGCACCGGTGATAAACATTAGCAAATTTGGTACAAACATAGTGAATGAAAGTTTTTGATTTGCAGCACATAAATGACATTTTCTCGAGCAAAGTACAGACACAACCGCAACTTGAACCAAAAGTCTGTTTCACGTTCTTTCACGGCGGATAGCACTAGATACATCAATTGGCTGTTTCTCGTTTTCTCGTATCCCACGTAAAAATTAGGAGTAGACCTTGTATGAATACCACGATACAAAGAAACTGCCGACGTTCGGTAACTATTTAATTTTTATTCCAGTTGAATTGACTCCGCATATATTATACTCGAATGATTATTCAGGTAATTGGAATACCCGAATGCTGACTGTTCGATTATAATATCACTGATTTTTTCAGCTGGTGCTGAGATTTGGCGTACTTGTAGGAGAACTAGTACCTTTCCAGAAAAACTAGAAACATTATGGTCCTTCGAGTTAGAAACTGATTAGTCTTACACAGTCCTAATAATTCGTTCCCTGTTTTTCTCGCGCATCCTCAAGATTTTTTTGTAGGAAGATTATTTCATTTCTATTATGTGTCTTGTCAGCCAATGTTTTATTCTTTCTAGAAATAAATACTATACAAATGATTTCATCATCTGCATTTGGTGAATATCTTTCTTTTTGCATCAATTTTCTCGTTGATTGATTCAACTCTATTTCCTCGAATCGTCTTGGTTCTTTGTTCCTTGTTTTGTTTCCTCCCAAGCTTCATGTTTTTTTTTCCTGCTGAGTAAAGGAACGAGTCAAAGTCGTTAATCCTATTTTCGCAATAGTTCCAGTCTTAATTATAGCGCTTCAGTAGATACTTGTCCATCTGAAAGTTTGTTATGTGCAAATAGCGGAGCTTGACGTTGATTTTACCGAAACGTGTATTAGCATTACCCTAGACATATTCCAAAATTTTGAAATAAGTCAGGAGGATCGAGGAGAATATTGCAAACATTTGATTGAATCAATTTATACATGAGAGCTGTTACTAATTAATTCCTCTTTTCAATCAACATCAATTTGAAAAAAAATCCGAAACATTGTGGCGGAGCTGTCAAACTTCTTGTTTCAAACTCAAACATCAATAATTGCCCAACCGGTTATAGAAACCCAAAAAAGTGAAAGTCATTGCATAGAAAATTGAAACACCTTCCACATTAATTATCACAAAAAATTTCAGGTAAGGGAAATATCATGGATTGAATATTACAAGGTTCATCACAAAACTATTTTGAGCATTGACAGAACAAATGTCTCTTGGGTAGTTGTTCGGCTACATCAGTCAGATTCTTTGAGTGAGACTCAATAACTGAAAGCGGAAACTTATTATTCTTCTCTATTGAAAACTGAAACAAAAAAAGGGACAAGGTACAATTACTACGTTCCACTTATTGGAAATAGAAAATGCGAGAAATATTGGTAATGGTATAATAAAAGATGGAAAATATCAGATACAATAATGATCTGCAGCAGCTTAGCTGCGGGTAGGGTCTCCTAGGACGAAGAGGCCGTAACAGAACAGTCAGACCAAGAAGGACCCAGGCTTAATCCAAGGTGTTATGCGACACGTACCAAAGGATGAATGGTACCTGAGCCTAATCAGGTATCACTAATGGTGCCTTTGGGATACCAGGCGACCTCCCAAAGTATCCAGCCTTACATCCATGCAGGGGGCACCATGGATGTGGACAACCCTCTCCCCCATACTCGTGGGACTTGAATGGATAAAAGAACTACTAGAATATCAGAGGAGGACTCTTCGAGCGACTCCTCGCGAAACCAGACTATCCTGGAGTGTAAACTGACCAGGAAAGTCATAGTCAAACGGAGGAAACACCAGCCCCTCCGAAAGCATAAGTGCAGGATTGACGGAAGTTGAACTGCAGAAAAAAAGGCCATCAGGGGCCCAAAGACGGAAACTGATGAAAGCACGAAAAATAGCTGCGGGTACATGGATTGAAAAACCATGTAACACAAAAGACCGCAGAAAAACGGAAAAAACAAAAGTAACTTCTGTGGAAAGGGCCAAAAAGGGACCTAGAGAGGATGTTAAAACTCCCCCACAGAAGATACTGAAAAAACCCAGGGCTTCCAGAGAAACTGGGACCTATAGCGAGGCTGCTAGGGGACTGAGGGTGGCTGTCACCGACACGCGACACCCTGAGGTCACCCTGAGTCAGGGTCAAGCAGACCTGATCCAGGAGGGACTTGTCCGCGAATTGGACAATACTCCCTCTGGTACCCTCGAAAATCTGCAATTCAAAAAGACTTCATTCGGCGCAGGGGTCCTATGGATAACCTGCGCGAATGAAGGGACAAAAGAAGGGCTCAGAGGAAGCATTGGAAACTTGAGAAATCTTTGGGAGGGGGCGGACTTGACTGTGGTCGAGGCCAACGAACTCCCTAAGAGACCAAGGATCCTAGCCTTCATTCCGGAACAAAAAGACGAGGAGGCTACAGTTAGGACACGCCTCTGCAAGCAGAATCCTGCCCTGGGAGTGGAAAACTGGATCCTCCTGAACAGAAAAGTGGAAGAGGAAGGACAAATCCTGGCCTACTCCACGAATGAAAGTTCCTTCAGGACCATGGAGGGGAACATGTTTAAAGCCTATTACAGGCTGGGCATGGTCACCTTCAAGGTCCTGAAAGGTCTTAACAATAATGTTTAGAGTGATACAAATAAACCTGCAACACAGTGTAATAAGTTGGATATATTATATTTTTCGTTGAATTTTAGATACCAAAACACATGTGTCTTCGTATGAAAAGGGAACCTTATCATCTTTCAGAAATAACCTTAAGGCCAACAGAGCCAAGCAATTTAAAGAAAAAGTCGTTAAAATTAACTGCTTGATGATAAGAAATTCGATATTTTGAAACATTCAACCTCATGATTCATTTCATTATCTTTCGTTAGGGGTCGAAAATATGTCATCCAGTCTGTATACCCCATTCAGAATAAAAGTCAGAAAGCACTCAAACGTATAATAAATATCGCAATTTATCTTATGAGCCCAAAATTTAACGACATGATAAAATGAAGCCACCCAAGTTAATCTACATATGTTTTATTCAAGACAGCAAAAATATCAAACCGACCCTTGCAGTGACATCTATATATCAGTAGCAGACTCACGACATTAGAAATGTCGGGAACTAGACGGTATTTCAACGACCTATAAATAGTCATCTCTCGGAGGAATCAGTCCAGTCATTACCCGAAGACGATTGTAGATACCAACAATCGAAACGTCGTGAACTAACGTGACTTGGAATCTCTACTTTTTTATTATTTTCTTTTTTCATTCCTTCAATTTTCATTTATTCAATTATTATATTTTTACTTGTAGGTTATTTCACTATAATTTCATTTCAGGTTTATTGTTGCTTAATATAATTGTTATTTTCAGCTATCCTTTTTTAATTATTCTTTTTTTCTTGTTTCAGGAATTTCAACTCATTTTATATAGTAGACAATGGAAGTCCGAACTAGTGAAATTCATCACGAAACATTGTCAATCACCTTCAAACAAACGTTTGGTGAGCGTATTTTAAACAATTCTGATATATAGTGTAGATGTTATTGCATGCGTATGTGGATTATATTTTCGACTTGGCACCTAGGGTATCAGTGAACATTCACCATAATAATATAGCTACGAATCGGGTTCCCTTTTCATTTTATTAGGTTATTATAGGTCATAGTAATTTCCTACGTTATACAGGGAGGAGCGATTAAGTGGGTCTCTTGATAGTTTCTCAGAGTTGTATTTTAGTTGGTTTTATAGCATAGCTAGTAGAATTCAGGCAAGGCATATCTATGCCCTGAGTGAAGTTACTTCAGTTTTCAAAGGAATACTCCTGTCATTTTGTTTTAGTAGTTTACCCATAGTTTGCTCATGATTATAATTATTTATATAGTGTTAATAACGTTCAGTATTGATTTTTGTTCATTTAATTTTTTTTTATTGTTAATCCGATTATTCTGCCAACTTTACTCATTAATAAAGTTGGTTTGTGAAAATTCTGCTAATATTATTTCATTTCCTCAAACCCCTAAAAGACCACGCATTTAAGACGTGGCCGAATCCAGTCTCTGAGGATATAATTGGTGGCATAACCAAGCCATTTCTCCACGAAGATTAGAAGGTAGGAAAAAGTCAACTGTTGACCAAGTTGCCTACTAATTCTCAATCCGCGTGATCAGGACGGATTTCAAACTTTTTCTGATCTGGTGGCAGCAACTCTCACGCTACCAAACTAAATTAAGAAAATAAATACCTTTGGCTGAACGATCCCATATACAGGAGGGTGATTTTTTCTGGTGCGAGTAAACTGAAATGATTATTATATATTCATTAGTAGTACTTATATAGGGATCGCCAATTCAGACCCGACGGTCATTTATTACAACAGTAAGGGGGCTTCGGCTGTCCTTACCAAAGTGATGGGGGGGGGTTTGATGTTGCTGTCATACGAGATCCCTGGGTGTACAAGGGAAAAATGATGGGATTGGGGGGCATAAGAGGGGAGTTAATTTATAACAGAACCTCGTATACCCCAAGAACATACATCATCCGTAAAGGAATAAATATACTGCCGCTGAGTAATTTGTGTTCCAGAGACTTGACGGCAGTCAAAATAAAGACGGCTGGCGGGGGCGGAACTGAGGAAATCGTCATTGTATCAGCATACCTTCCTTACGACAGTCCGGAACCACCACCAACCAGGGAAGTGGAGGAGTTGGTTAGGGCCTGCCAAGCAGAGGGACTACAACTTATAATTGGCTGTGATGCCAATGCACACCATCTAACCTGGGGAAGCACAAACACCAATGAAAGAGGTGAGCACTTACTACAGTTTATTATGGCAAATAACTTGGACATTTTGAACATAAGCAATAAACCTACTTTCGTAAATGCGAGATGTAGTGAAGTGATAGACGTAACGATAGGAACTACATTTGTAAGTAACTACGTTCGGAAATGGAATGTGTCCGATGAGGAAAGTTGTTCAGACCATCGACACATAAACTTTGAAATCGGGGGGATTCAGACCTCGATCCTAACATATCAAAATCCTCGGAAAACAAACTGGGGAGCCTATACGGTGGACCCGGAAACCTGTTTAGATCGCATGGATTTTGACATCCATTGACCTAGAGTTGGCAGCAGATCGATTACAGGGAGCTATCATCTCTACGTAAAACGAACATTGTCCCATAGTAAATCACAGATCAAACAGGAATGTGCCCTGATGAAATGAAGATCTGGCAAGGATGAGACAAAAAACTAGAAAAGCCTTCAAAAGCGCAAGGAAATCAGGTTCATGGGACCAATACAGAAGGGCCCTAACTGAGTATAACAAAGTCCTGAGAAAATCCAAGAGAGATACGTGGAGAAGGCAATGTGAGGAGGTCGAACAGACCCAAGCATGTGCCAGGCTCTACAAAATACTCTCGAAGGAACCTCAAGTCTCAATAAATAATTTGAAAACAAATACGGGGGAGTACACAAAAACCGGAAAAGAGACTATCAGAGAGCTTTTCCAGGTACACTTTCCCGGGTCAGAAATAACAAAAAAAAAAGTAATGCTGCAGCAGCCGTTTCCAAAAAAATGAATATTCCTTCGCAATCTATTGTAAGATTGACAAAACCTATCGAAAATACAAACAAAAACGTTATTGCTAACAATTGGTTCTCTTCATTAGGAATCGCTAGAGAGCTGAAAGAAAAAGGCCTCACTTCTGTAGGTACTATAGGCAAAAATGAAAAAGAAATTCCATCTGAGTTTTTATCGACTAAAAATCATGATGTTGATTCGTGTTTATTTAGATTTACGTCGAATTTTACTTTACTTTTATACGTAGGTACCTAAGAAGAAAAAAGCCGTTTTGTTACTATCTTCTATGCATCATAGTGGTGGGATAAATCTTGCAAGTGGAAAACCTGAAATTATTGAATTCTGAATTCCTCCAAAAGGGGGCTCGATTCATTGGATCAGAAGTGTTCAATATATTCATCAGGCAGGTGCACGAATTGATGACCCAAGGCGATTTTGTATAGAATCGTGGATATGAACCTTTTTCCTGAAGTACGAAAAATCACTCACTAGCAGCGCTAGTATTTCGGTAGGGACAAACACTGCCTAATCCTCAGATAAACATGGTAAAGTACAATTGAAAAAGAATTTCACAAACTACACTTAAACGATTTGATCTCCACTAACTTTATTGAAAATAATCATAACATGTTTCGCTAAAACATTAGCTTTTTCAAATGATTAATACGTTGATGTTGAAATGTTATGTTGAAATATATGTTGAAAAAGAATGTTTTTAACAAAAGAAAATATTCCTGGACCTAAACTCAAATTTGCAACTGTAAAGGATAACATTGTTGTAACATTAAAACGTTGGCTTGCATGCCGTAATTTAAAAGTAACTGAAAAAAAATATACGGACTTTAGTTAACGAGGAGTAGTAGATTCAAATTGTAATAAAAGAAATTTAAAATAATTATGAATTTCAGATTTATTTCCGAGTGAAATATGAATCAAATATAGATGGTAATGAAATAACTTTAATTAAATGTAATAAATGAATATAATTCAATTAACGATTGACGTTATATCTCATTCTAATCAATAGTAATCAACTATGAAAAATTTACTATTCATTTCATGTTTAGAGCATACATATGAATATTTATTTATTTTTTGCACTGTTAAATCCACTCTTTTCCAAGTATGTATCCATTTCTTATATCTAACCTCATTAATACGAGGTTTTAACGTTTTCTCCCGGATATCAATTATCCGACATACAATTAGCAAAACAGCAATGCTTTGTTGGCATTACACTAGCACAAAATAATTTTTTATATCAGATTTATATTTTTGAATAATAAATTGATATTACGTAAATAACACTGTTTTACATGTGAATAGTTTATGTTTGTCCCTACTACTAGTGCTGCCTCTCGTGACACGTTCGCTGTACTATTCTCAGGAAAAAGGCTCATTCTTGTATAGTTTTCACATCTTACGTCAATACTTCCAAAATTATCAGATTTGCATTCATAAAAATGTTTGCAAAATCATTGGTTCTACCACAAATAATTAAGCAATATAATAATCCAAGCATACAACGGCAATTGAAGAAAACTATGGTTCGTGTTACTGAGATTGCAGTAGTAGAAGCACCACCGAATATTGACACAAATAAGCTTACTGAAAGAGTAAGATGTGCTCTATATGTCCATATGGAAGAGAAAGGAAAATGTCATATATATATAGGTACATAAATTGCAAAAACCCGTTTGCAGTGACTGCAACAAACATACCTATTTGTAGAGACTGTCAGTAATGATTTGAATTTTTTGAAGTCAGCACAGCCGTTTCAGGTTTTTTTTTCAGTGGATAAGTTTAACTTTTTTCACCATTTTTCATATACCTTATAAATATGATTACTTCCCTCATATTATCAAAACAATGGTTATTAAAATGTTTTACTGTAATTATGGATTTTTTAATCATGCTCTGCAGAAACGATACGCTTATTTCTATCATTTTTTTGAAAAATATTATACATTTTATTTTGAACAAAGTAGCGTTTCGTAACATAGGCAAATATACTACTTAGCATTATGAACTAGTTTATATTGCTGAATAACGATAATACATGTTTATATAATAAATGATCCAAATAACAGGGTCATTTTGACCCTGGTTCAGTGAATACGTTCGTCCTCAGATGCTCAGTGGTTGAGGGATAAGAAAAGATGTTGAGATTGCTTGGAATCATGAATCAAACTTTGTTTTTTTCATAATACGACAGTGGAAATTTCTAATTTTCGGACCTTTCCTTAGTTACAATTTTCCACGGGGATGCTTCTTGGATATCAAAATTGCATTATTTTTTGTGCTTTCTAGGAATTGATTTTGTTGTTATTGATAAAAAAACTAGTGAAATTTCTTTCATTGTTTGAGGCTTGTGAAGTCCATATCATTTATTTGTGAGATTTAAGAAACAAGCAAGAATAAGAGTTTTGTGAAACTCCATAACCATTCACCAGAAGGTATGGTACTCATTACATGAAATGTGGTATGATTCTTCCTAATACGCTGATGTATTATTTGAGGTACATCATGAAATTGAGTCTAATTAAATTTTCATTTCATGGAGCTTTATTGTAACTCTACTCTTTGGCCTTGACCTACCTTAACGATTCATAGATGTGACGTTGCAAATAATGCAGGATATTTGTGTACTAAAAATTTTCTCAGTGCGGCAACACTGCTACAAATACATCAACACATCAACAAAATAGTTCGTGTCATGAGATATAACATAAAAGTTAAAAATGGAAGCTTGTTTAGCAGTAGAGAAAGAAATAGATAAAGTCCTTTCAAAATTTGGAGGAATAAATGAGCATGCGAAAAGAGTTTTATCGGATTTAGTGAATCAAATACAAAATCTAAAAGAAGAATATGATAACAGTAAGTAGTATTTTCATTGTTGTTTTGAACAAAGAAAAGTCCCCATGTTCTGTTTTCGAATAATATTTGTTGATTTCTCTTAGCTGATGGTGACTATGTCTTGAGCAGTGTACAGCGTGACATATTGAAACAAAGTATGGGTAAAATCAAAGATACAGTGTCAAAGATAGCAACTGATCATAGAGATTTACATAGCACAGTCTCAAAAGTTGGAAAAGCTATAGATCGCAACTTCGTGTCTGATTTTGCTGCTACAACTCGCGAGGACAGTCTCACCAGCCCTGAAAAATTACAATTGATCAACAAAATCATATGCCAACATTTGTACCGTCAAGGAATGCAGGATGTTGCTGATGAATTAGCTAAAGAATGTGAAGTGATGCCTGAAGCACATGAAAAAGAACCTTTGAATGAAGTAAACCACATACTGGAACGATTGAAAGTTAAAGATTTGGAGCCAGCTCTTGCGTGGGCTGTTGTACATCGAGATAATTTAGAAGCACAAAACTCTCCTCTGGAATTCATGTTACATCGCTTGAAGTTCATTGAGCTACTCCGTAAAGGAGTTTCTCATCAAACAGATGCTATATCATATGCTAGAACACATTTCAGGAAGTTTGTACACAGACACGAAAAAGGTTAGTAATTTGAAATTTCAAGGTATATTTCTTGACTGTTGAAAGTGTAGTTTTGACTACAAATGGGGTTTAACGATGAATGGGCGAAGTTGTGCAGCTTGCTCTCTACTAGGAGATTGTAAGTTTGAAACTGCTTTGACTAGATCTTTTTTTTAATAGCTGATGTGGATTGAATCTGCTATGTTACATGCCTGACAGGACATAACATAATGATAACAGTATATTTTCTAATTACATATCTCTAAGATTCTGCCCTCTGGTGAATTCTTTCAATGAAATTCTGATCAGCAAATTTTTGTGGCAGGAAATTGATAAATAGAATCCATTTTAGAGTCTCCACTTATATCTAGAGGCATTATCATGAACTTGGACTGTCTATTCTAGTATGAATCCATGTATCAAATCGGGATTCAGATTCACAAATTTATTTCATCCGTTTATTGTCTTGGTATTTGTGGTATTGGTATTTGTAGATCTTTATTAATGAACAAATAATTCATTTAGTTTTTCCATAACCTCAGGTCTGTTGAATTGTAAGTGTTTTAATTTTCATGAATCAAAGCACTTTGAGAACCTTTTTATATCTGATAAAGATTCTGATGGTAGAATGTACAATGTGAGAACAGGAAAATACCTTATTGTATTTTAATTTGGCTTCTTCTAAACAATCCATATCTTTTTCCAGTACTCCTTGCCTCTCATGTAGACCTACGACTTTGAAGGTACGTGTGGCATATGCCCAACGGAAAAATAACTACTAACCCGTAATGCCACATAGAGAGTTGAAGTAAAACCATCAGGCACCTGTGCAACGTCTTCGATTTGAAAGATTTGTTACAAGTTATTTCCCACTATAAAAAACAAAAACTTATTTCTTTGGTTGATACAACCAATTGATAGACTGGTTTCGGGATACTTGCCCCATCATCAGTACCGAGCATGGTCTCTTCAGAACGGTGTGAACCATCTGAGTATCACAACCAAACAAATATAATTCCAGCTGTCATGAACTCTTTCTGCAGTTGATTCAGTTGATATTTTTGCTTTAATGATCTATTTTGAATCCCCATATTCCCAATGATGCGTTTTTCTCTGCCTCTTTTCTCTTAAATGATATGTTGGTACACCTGGTATACTAAATTTGACGAGCAACCGCCATGTTTTATTTGAAAAGCAGTCGCCGTTTTTTTTTAAGCAGTCGCCATGTTTTTTGTATAATTTCCAATATGTGTGATTGATGACTTGTTTACTTTATGGTAATTCATTATCACTTAAATGAAATGGTAGATTTTATTTATACGACCGGATTTGGTCGGTTGCAGATTTTTTGTCCAACCAGACGTGTTCACACAGTCTTATGTCAAAATTTCTACCGTTTTGGCCTGTATATACTGCAGATCATTTGCCATACTCTATTCTATATATACATCATTTTTTCATTCTATTTCGTTTGGGTTTTGCATTAAACAGGGTTCTACGTAAATTATTATTATTTGTGAAAGCTGTTGATATTTTGTATATAGAAAAATAATTTTGAATATTTTCTGAAAGTTTACCTGAGTAATTGATGCTACTGTACTTGACTATATTGTGTTCTCGGCAGTTTGGGTATAATTTACTCATAAGTGTTTTGTGAGTTTTACCTGATATTATCTTTTCTATTAGGGAAATTGGTACCTGATTGTTTACTACCATTTGCCTAATTATTTTTATTTCATCTTGGAAATTCTTTTCCAGTAAAGGGATTGCGAAAGCTCTGTGTATCATTGGCTTAAACGCGGATAACTTATGTGAGAGCGGACTGAAAGAGTCAAAGGAAATTGTACAGTCTGTGAACGTGTTTTTCTGGTAGATAATGAATTCAAAACCATTATTAACTCTTGAAATATTCAAATCTATCAAGTTAAGCTCCATGTTTTGTTTGATTACTACTGTGAACTTAATTTTGTTATGCAGACTATTGAGAAAGTTCAAAAATTGAATAATTTGTCTGTTTGAACCATCAAAACTAACCAGTACGTCATCAACATATCTGAATCAAAACACAATATGTTTCTGTGAAAGGGGGTTATTAAGAATGCGGGTGTTTTCTAGTGTGTCCATGAAAATGGACACACTAGAATGGGGAGCCCATAGGGAGACCTGAGTTTTGCAAGTAAAAATTATTATTATATTTCAAGAAATTTTGTTTCAGTCATTTGAAAATAACCATTTATTGTTAGGCATTTTCTTGGATTTATCTAAAGCCTATGATTGTCTCAATCATAAATATCTACTTGAAAAACTCGAAAGGTATGGAATTCGTGGAACTGCATCAGATTGGTTCACATCATACCTAACAAATAGGCAACAAATAGTAAAAATATCCATTGATGGAAAGATAGTTAAATCTAACATAAAAACAAATAACACTGGGGTTCCTCAAGGCAGTATAACAGCATTACTAAATATGCGGTTGACACAAACTTATTAGTTACTAGTTCTAACTCATTTGATTTAACTCAACAGGCAAATTATTTCTTAAGTGAAGTAAGTAATTGGTTCGCAAAAAATAAACTTATATTGAATGTCCAGAAAACTAACATGTAGAGGAATTTTCAAAAAAAATCACATACTTACTGTGTATGCAATTTATATATATGAATGTGTACTATATCTGTATAAACATAAAAATAATTTTACAAAGTGTGTGGACCTTCAAAATTATCAAACACGTAATTGTAGTAACATATCTTACCCAATACATAGATTAGTAGCAACTGAAAAACAACCCTCTTATGCCTCTATACGACTTTTTAATAGACTACCAGAGAACATTAAAACCTTGAACAACATCAACAAATTTAAAACAAATGTTAAATCCTTCCTCATTAAAGTAGGTCCATATAATGTAGAAGACTTTCTAAATTATTTTTATTAGATATTAGATTTAAGAATTATGAAAATTGACACTGTTTAATTTTTTTGTTTTTCACTGATTTGTGTAAAACACTCTTCGAAATAAAGATTATTATTATCAAGGAGATTGCGAAATTCGAATATGTATTTCACTAGGGAAAGCATTCGTCTGTTGAGATGTTGGGAAACATGTTTTTTACGTCTAACGATACTAGTTTGATATTAGTTTTTATATTTAGATTTTTGAACAGAAACAGATAGTTTGTCAGCTGGGTCTACTAAATTTAGAACTTTGTTTAAAGGACTTCATTTTGTGAGGTCTCTGAATCTTGAATTTGAAAATTTAGACAACTTACTGGTTGGGACATCTATATATGATACCACGGGTCTGGCTGGATGTCCCTCTTTGTGGAATTTGATCAATCAATACAATTCTGGAGGCTGGGGGTCGATGCATATTATCTTTTTTATATCGCATGGTGTGGGAAACAGCATTGTTGATTCCTCGATGGCCTTCTTAGCTTGCTGGGAATACATTTTGGTAGGATCATTTCTTAAAATGGTGAAATGTAATGTATCCACCACTTCTTGCATTTTCAAAAAGTACTCTTTTTCTTCTAGACTAGACAGACTATGCTGTTTCCTTTGTCTGCTTTGGTGAAAATGAGTTTGTCGTTAAGTCGTTTCGTTAAGTCTTTTAGAGTGCCTTTGATATTCCTGGGATAGCTGGGTGATTGAGTATTCTTAATGATTTCTGTTACTTTGTGTTTGTGAAGGAAACCTACTCCTTCCAGTTTGTTGACGTTGTTTGAGATAGCTAGTTCAGCTTGTACTCCTATGATGTCTTTCATGTTCCAAATTTCTGGGGGGAGGGCGAATTTTGGTCCTTTTTCTAGCAATTTCCTTTCTTCATTATTGAAATCGGTATTAGTTGGGTTGACGAATCTTGGGTAGAATGTCTAATCCGAATATTGAATATTTTGTTCCTTCGTCGTTGGCTTTTGTTTATTGAGGAGCACTGATATCTTATTTTTAAGCTTATCATATTTCTCTTTCGATACTTTACTAGTTTCTTGTTTAATCTTATCCTCCAGGCAGTCAAATTCCACGTTATGGAGTATATGTCTTAACTCGTCTTGGACTAATTTTTGGTTAAGTTTAAAGTTGTCTCGCGCTTTATAAATTCCTTTAATTTCTTCCTAATCATAGTTCTTGAATTTTTGGTTGTATCTTGGATGACGATAACGTAACGACATCCAATTCCCGTTGACTCTTTCAGTCCGCTCTTACATAAGTTATCCGCGTTTAGGTCAATGATACACAGAGCTTTCACAATCCCTTTTAGTGGAAAAGAATTTCCAAGATGAAATAAAAATAATTAAGCAAATTGCAGTGAACAATCAGGTTCCAATTTCCCTAATAGAAAAGATAATAACACAATATAGTCAAGTACAGTAGCATCAATTACTCGGGTAAACTTTCAGAAAATATTCAAAATTATTTCTCTAAATACAAAATATCAATAACCAAGTTATGTCAGGACGTTTCGATTGTTAGTATCCACAATCGTCTTCGGGTGATATCAATTTATATTATATTAGACAATGAAAGTCCGAACTGAAATACACCACGAAACATTGTTAACCACCTTCAAACTAAACGGGATGGAATGAAAAAATCAGGGCCAAACCAGTAGAAATTTTGACATAAGACTGCGTGAACACGTCTGTTTGGACAAAAAATCTGCAATGTACGAACATCTTCAAGAATCAAACCACAAGATGAAAGAAGATAACCTCAAAAGCCTACACATTTGTAATAAAGGGAAAAAATGAATTTGTTGGAGGCCATGGAAATTAACAAATCAATTAAAACCAGAAACATATACCCCTAAACGAGCAACGAGCAACTCGATGTAGGTCTCCTCTCTTGAATTTATGAGTTTAACAACCCCGAGAATTTTCAGGGTGAAATTTTAAGTTGGCATCCTGATTCGCCAACTACCTGTTTCACAAATACCTACCCTTGCAGCATACCTGAAACTTCTAATAAAACCGATATTTCAAAATTTCAGATTTCAGTTTTATACTTGATAATGGCGTCAAACCCGAAACCGGTCATATAAATAAAATCTACCAGTGGTATTTAGACAGAAGTGTTTTTATTCATTTCATTTACGCACACAATATCTGTGGGGCGCTTTCTTCATCTACTCTCAAAAACCCAATCAATTTTATAGATTTTGAATGGAATCAGACCACAAATCAAAGCATTCGTCAGCCATCTTGAGTTAATGGATAGTCCTATATCCAAATATTTATTCAAAATCCAAAAATATTTCTCATTCCTCTATCCATTTCCATTTTATTTAAATCACAAAACCAAAGTTTTTGACATCAGATTCATAATCCTTGAAACAGTTTTCAATAAAATCATTTGGAAATATCAAAAACCGTTTATCTCAATTCGCCAAGTTATTGAGAAACTGTCAAAAGACCTTTCCACACAATTCGTGTGTGGTATGGATCAAATTTGAATTGTAAGACTGAGACATATTGGGCACATATCTCATAATTCATCAAAACGGCTGTTTGTACGATAATAGCTGCTTTCAATACACATTTTTATTCGAAAGCTCAATTAGAAAAGTATTTCTTCAGATTTAAAAACTACCTACACCTCTGCCTACGTAGACATACGATGGAACATCTACATCCAATATCATCTTTATAGAATTAGTTTGGCGCCATCTGTCATTGGGAAGAGTCGTTTGAATCAAATCGTGAAATCAAACTACAACATACAGTAAGAATAGACATACCGAGGACATAAACTCCCGAGCGCCATCTATTGATGGTGTCCTCCTCGTCAAATGATATCCTTGTAAGGCTGTTCTACTATCTTTTTATTTTTATACTATGGCTTGACATACATCGCAAAACGCATATTTATGAGACGAACCGAAAAAAACACTTCGTATATCCCATCCATGCAAAATCCCTGTATGAAAGTAGCACAATGTATAGGATATTTATTAAACGTGGCAAAAAATTATAGGACTATTTCTTGGACTATTCTTAGGTTATTTTGTCCATTGATAATTGTTGATAGGGCGCTTTGTTTTGAAGATACGGGGCGAGAAAAAATTTCGACAAAGTATAGCGTACTACACTGGACCTACCAAGTAAAAAAAATCTATCAATTCCGTGAGTACCTATCAACAACATTCCGATTACTGTAAACGGCTGCAGGCATTCAATTCGAATAGAATGTCTCGTAAGTGATCCTGGTGTTTTTGAAAGAGTTCGGGATTCGATGCGGAGGGAGATTGGATTCTTGCATCCGAGCGGGAGGTCATTTTCGACAGTTCTTGTAGATTAAGAAACATTACATGTAAGTTCTGGTAATAAATTGTTATTGTTGAAATTTTTTTTGCTCCATATCTTCGCAACAAAGCGCCCTATCATGAATCATCAAAAGACAAAATATCCTTGGAATAGTCCTTTATATTTTTGCTTCATGTTTAATAAACACCCTGTATACTGGAATGAAATTTTGTGCTAATCTTCCAAAAAACATAAAAGATATTGTCGTTGCTAACAGGTTTCTGAAATCTACAAGAGAATTCTTATGTAATCTAGAGCTCTACGATGCTGATGAATATTTTCTGGCCTGTAGAAATTTATGAATCAAATTTTATTCAAAATCGCGCTATGTATTTATAGAAATTATCTCTACTTTCAATAATCATGCGCAATATGTTGGTAAAAATAAAAGATACACTATCTGATCCTCAACCAATCAGTTCAGGAGTTCCTCAAGGCTCTGTCCTGGGACCGCTTATCTTTCTATTATTCGTCAATGATCTACCTAAATACTTCAACATCAACAACAATAGTCTCACTCTCTTTGCTGACGATACCTCGTTAGCGGTGTCAGCACACAGCCTAGAGGAATTAAAGTCATCAACGGAAAGGTTTATAACACACTTCTTAGATTGGTGTAAGTTAAACAATCTGATTGTTAACTTGAATAAAACAAAATGTATCCATTTTAGTTCTTCCATCTGTCTTGATAAACAGCCTACTGTCTTTGATATTAGAGGGGTGGAATTGGTATCAACGAATTTTACAAAATTTCTAGAAGTCTATGTGGATGATTGCTTAAGATGGTCTGAACACATTACAGTCAGTTGTAAAAAAGTTAACCAAGCGTACTATGCTCTCTCCAGAATAAAACATTTTATGCCCTTGCATGCCTTGCTGGACGTCTACAGCCATTTAAGCTACAATATGGTTCTTTGGGGATATGCAACCAACAAAGATAGGGTTTTTATTTCCCAAAAAAAAAACATCAGAAAATTATTTGATATCCCATGGAGAGAATCGTGCAAACAGCACTTCATATCATATCAAATCCTGCCATTCCCTTGTATTTACATATTTAAATGCTTATTATACATCCACGATAATTTAACAAAATATAACACAAATTCTTCTTACCACAGTTACTCAACCAGAAATGGAAAATTGTTAAGTATTCCTAGACACAGATCCTCTAAATTTGAACAGTCACCCAAATATATGGGAATAAAATTATTCAATCACCTACCTGATCACTTTAAAACCATGAGTTTGATGTCATTTAAAAGAGAAGTTAAAAATTTGCTCCCGTCTAAGGCTTATTACAGTGTCAGTGAATTCCTTTTAGACGACTTTAGCTGATTGCGGTCCAGACTTTCATCCTTATTTTATTATACATCCAATTTTGACTAATCTTGTTTTTTTTTCTTTATATTTTATACATTTCTATACTTTAAAACTACTGAGATATTTTATCTTTATGTATGTTTATTTTCTTTATACTATTTTAACGTGTTGTACTGACATGTCCTATACGTTGTTAACGTCTCAAAGGATAAATAAATATTATTATTATTAATATGACGCATGATTTGCAATCGTGTTTGAAACTTGAAGCTATTCATTTTGAATGTTTCATTTTTAAATTTATATGTATATCTACACATATTGATATTTTTACAACTTTCCTTTTGCCACTCCTGTGAATGATTATAAAATACTACTACGATACTAGATATAAAAACAACATACACCTAAATAAATTTAACAAAACATGATACACAAACCCTCCCCTGTATACTGGAGGCTACTTTTATAACCTGCTTCCTGAATGCATAAAATTAGCAAAAAATTTAAAAAATTTCAAATCCGACCTAAAGAAGTTTTTGCTCCATCACTCCTTTTATTCACTAACTGAATACATTGAGTTGAATATTAGAACTACATCCAATGACCAATAGACAAATTTTCCACACTTTTAATTTGTTTTATATGTACATTTTATTTTATATTTTCAACAAGTTTTGTAAATAGTTGGCATCCAAGTTTTGACTTATATATGTATGTGTATGCTAAATCAATTATTCAATGTTTTATGTGTAAATACCTGATTATTCAAACTATTAGGTATATTCATCTTATTTTTGTGACTACCATTGGACTTATCTCATGTCATGTAAATGATTTGTGGAGATCAATAAAATTATCTATCTACTCTGTTGAAATAAATGTACCTATCTATTCCGTATTAGGAATAACACGTTAAAAGGTGATACCTCATTAGTACTTAGCTCTCACAAGTTTCGACTTCTGAGGGTTGTCGTTCATAAGGGTTCGACAGCTGGTTAACGGAAAAACACATTTTAAACATAAATATCTATATATTTCTCAACTAAACTTTCCTACACTACATCAATAATATAGAACTGGCCGATACTTGATGAAAATCCATATTGACACTAAGTCATATTTACTGTAAGATTTTCATAAGAGGTTTTACAAAAAACGTGATGTCTTTCACTGAAGAATAACTTCCTCGAGTGAGGGTGCATTCATAAATCAAAATTGACTGAGAAATTCAAAAAGTTTTCTTCTTTCAGATATTCAAACCATGATGGGCATGCTGTTGTACATACCCAACGGAATCAATTCTTCTCCTTATAGTTGTTTACTTGACTCTGAAATGTGGATTGAAATTCATGAGTTATTCATCAGAGAAGCATGTCAGTTATTAGGTGTTTGTGTGAATAGCCCTCTAACCACTTGCATAAATGCAGGGTGCACAGCCGTACCAGCCTTGCTCAATATCAAACATGTCATGATGCAACGACAGGTCACTGGAATATGGAATGGAAGAGAAGAATTACCGGTAAGTTTCAGTACTAAAAATCTATATAGTAAAATCCACCCTACAAATAAAAAAAAGAAAGTCTCTAGGGTTTCTCACAAAAAAAATGTATTGCCTCATAGTGAAGATCGTGTCTCAAATAAACAAAAACTAATTTTCAATTTTTTTTCAATAATATTAGAGACACAAAATAGTTTTTAAAAATCATCTACCCGAAGTTTGTTCAAAATGCCGAAATTTTATGACGTGTTAGGATGCTATCAATCAGCATCAAGTAGAGATTGAAAATAACAGCTCTTGTACACAGACTGATAGAAGACACCAGTTTATAACCACACTTTTTTCTTCCACTCTCTGAGTTGTGTTCTCTAAAGTGAATTAGGAGGTATATGGATTGTCTGTGAAAGTTTCTGAAAGTGGCTGCAAGAAACATACTATTTCAAACTTTTTCTTTTTCTCTGACCCAGATAAAACATTAGGAATGTTGATTTTCAGAGGAATATCAATAAATTTGCGTGGCACTATTCCTGTCTTGATTCTCAAAACAACACTCATTTTTCATAATATAACCAACTTTTTGCATCCTGTTCAAGCTAAAATCAAAACTAAAGTGTTAATTCCCTCGACAACATAGTAATAAATTTTGCATAGAAATTAGGCATTCCCAAATGAAAATTTAATTGATTGGCATTTTCAGGTTCTGGGCAATTACGTATTGCTTCAACGTTGGCATTTAAAGGTTTCATACCATCTTCCAATATAGAATACCCTAAAAAATCTATTCTTTAACAAAAACCATTCGGTTTCATTAATTTTTATACAATATTGTTGCAATCTATTCATAACCTATTCAATATCTTGTAAGCAGTCTTCAAAATATTTATCTGAGATCAACAGATCATTCAAGTAAATTCCTACTTTTAGACCTTTAAGAGCTCTTTTCATCAGACTGAAAAATGGCAACAGCAAACTATACTTCGTACAGTAATCTAGTATACTTCATAAGATTTTAATGAGTATTTATTGTAGGTAATTTTTGATTATCTTTCTCAACTTCTAGTTGAAGATGAGCATTTGACAAATCTATGATTGTGAAAACTTTACCACCGATAATTTTGTGTAAGATTCCATCCAGACTTTGCAATGGAAAGAAATCTGTGCGAAAGGCGGGATTTAAAGTAGTTTCAAAATCGACACGTTATCTTACACCCTTTGTCTTTTTTGGGACAGGTTCAATTGGACTAGACATTCCTTCATGTTGGCCTTTAACAAAAACTCCATCCTTTATTCATTTATTCAACGCCTTTTCCACCTCATGTCTTATTTTATATGGAACTGGATAGGTAGCATGAAAGACTTGATGTAGCTAATACCTTTCAAAATCCAGTTACTGCCATGGAAAACATGATTTACGAACTAGAAGAACGTCGCAAAAGAGCTGAGAACTTGATGGTATATAATATTTCAGAATGTGAGGTAGCCACCATTAGTTCTTACTTCTTACTTGGACAATCGAAAACAAACTGTTGTATTAGATTCCATAAAATCCAAGACAAGAGAGTGTTATCATAAAGGTGTACCTCAAGGCTCCACTCTGGGACCTTCTTCTTTATAATATTCACAAGCGACATAAAGAACACCTGTGTTGATGCAGATCAAATCATTCTCTATGCAGATGATACGAATATTTTAATGTCCAGAACAAATAATGAACAACTAGTAAAGAATTATAATAAGGCATCAAAGGAAATCAGTGACTATTGTAGTAAAAATGGACTAGCACTAAACACCGCTAAGACCTATCATATTCGATTCTTACCAAAAAGTATAAATCCTGATAATGATCTCTACTTAACAGTCAATGGAAAATCGATAGAAAGCAAAGAAAGGATGAAGTTCTTAGGTGTTGTGCTTGATAGGAAACTTTCATGGGAAAACCATATCATCACTTTATGTTCAAAACTCAGCACAATCACATATATTATTAGGAATCTAAGGGATACAGTATCAGCTGATGTACTGAGAATTCTTTATTTCGGACTGGCTCAGTCAGCTATGCAATATGGAATAATATTTTGGGGATCCTTAACTCACATACTAGCGGCTTTTCGTTCCCAAAAAAAAATCATCAGAGCTATGAATAAAACTCACCCTTCAGAATCTTGTAAGCCACTATTCCGAAATTCTAAAATACTAACGTTACCTTGTCTCTACATCTTGAACTTGATATTGTTTATAAAGGACAAATAAAATACGTTTCTGAAGAATGATCAAATACATGCACATGATACAAGGAATAAGGAAAATATTCATCTGTCCTTTTCCAGGCTTCTCATTGGTCAAAATTCCCTAAAATATGTTGGTGTAATATGTTTACTTCAACTCTTTGCGCAGCATTAGCTGGGTTAGTTGTTGTTTTTTCGTTGGGTATCTGCCACACGTCCCTACAAAGTCATAGGTAACCTGGTAAACTGCCACTGCAGTTGTCGGTTGATTGGTCACACCACCAACACTGACATAAAAACTTGACAAGTTGACTTGGGTGTCACACCAATAGATGGTTCCACTTATGTCTCGCTTGCGATTGCGCAGTTATTTTTATCAAGTGCTTTTCTTGATTGTTCACATTTTATCTCAAATCGAGGACTGCCTGCCCGGTACTTACGATGCCCAATAGACTGAAACAGCTCTCTACCAGTGGCTCTTAGATTAAAATCAATATCGGAATGATCAGAATAGTACTTATCTATTTATTTTTTGATTTTCATAGAATTATTTTCCAGCGGCTTGACTGCATTAACCTTTCCCGATTTCATATCATTTCTAGAAACATGTGGATTCTTTTTCCGATGGCATTCCAGAATAACTACCCAAATTTCTGCTACTGCAGTTGTCGGTTGATTGGTCAAACCACCAACACTGACATAAAAACTTGACAAGTTGACTTGGATGTCACACCAATAGATGGTTCCACTTATGGCTCGCTTGCGATTGCGCAGTTATTTTTATCAAGTGCTTTTCTTGATTGAGGACCGGAATGTTCTGCCTGATGAGCAATTCGGCTTCAGGAGAGAGCATTCCACTGAGTTGCAGGCTCTGAGACTGGTCGAAAACACCATCGCGGAGTTAAATAGAAACAAAAAAGTCCATCTAGTCCTACTAGACATCTCGAAGGCCTTCGACCGCGTTTGGCATGAAGGCCTTCTTCACAAATTAATAGCGTTCGACCTGCCTCGGGGCCTGATCCGGTGGATTGGGTCTTTCCTGAAAGACAGAACATTTCAGGTTAGAGTAGAGGGCTCTCTGTCTGACAACAGAGAGATCCTCGCTGGAGTGTCACAGGGGGCCGTGCTCTCTCCCATGCTCTATTCTCTTTATACCAGCGACCTTCCGAGGTCCGAGCATGTGAAGGTATCTCTCTACGCCGATGACACGGCTCTCCTCTCATCTTCCATGGGTCGGGAGCTCGGGATCGTCTATATGCAACGTGCATTGGGCGACCTCGAGCGCTGGTACCTCGAGTGGAAGATCCGAGTGAATCCGGAAAAAACTCAGGCAATAACCATGGGAAGAACGATAGCTTCTCCGGCCATGAAAGTGAGAATCTCTGGAAGGGAGATTGATTGACAAGCGCGGGTCAAGTACCTAGGTCTTCTTATAGATCGTAGGCTCACCTGGAACCCGCATCTGTTAAGCGTAAAGGCAAAAATCCAGGGTCGGGTGGCAAGCCTGTACCCTTTGATAAATAGAAATTCCAAGTTAAGCCTAAAGAATAAAATTACGATCTATAACATGATGTTCAAGTCTGTCATCATGTATGCTTCAGGCGTTTGGGGACAAGCGGCTCCAACTAACATCTCCATCTTGGAGACTCTACAAAACAAAATTCTACGGATGATTGTGAATGCTCCGTGGTTCGTGCGGAATGAAGCCATCCGCAGAGATTTGAAGCTGCCTTCCATTCAGCAATCCATTCAGTCGAGGAATCGGCGAGTTTTAGATTATGCTGAAACTCATGAAAATCCTTTAGTCAGGGAAGCTATAGATTACGCTGTAGACGACCCCTCCCGATATAGAAGGCCCCGACACTCTGTCGCATAAGGCCCCTATGTCCTCAGTTAACGGATGAATAATATCTTCATCCATCTCACCCCAGCCAGGTAGGGGTATACAGCGAAGGGCGGTATGGATGTCTCAGGACTTTCATGCCACCAATAAACACCAGTCATAACCCGTTTGTCTTTCTGACAAACACCAGTTGAAAGGGAAAGGGAGCCAGGCTTCAACCTGCAGGAAATCAAGATGGATTACGTCACATTTTATCTCAAATCGAGGACTGCCTGCCCGGTACTTACGATGCCCAATAGACTGAAACAGCTCTCTACCAGTAGCTCTTGGATTAAAATCAATATGGGAATGATCAGAATAGTACTTATCTATTTATCTTTTGATTTTCATCCCGATTTCATATCACTTCTAAAAATATGTGGATTCGTTTTCCGATGGCATTCCAGAATAACCTACCCAAATTTCTGCTACTGCAGTTGTCGGTTGATTGGTCAAACCACCAACAATGACATGAAAACTTGGCAAGCTGACTTGGGTGGCCCCACCAATAGGTGGTTCCACTTATGTCTCACTTGCCTTTACGCAGTTATTTTTATCAAGTGCTTTTTTTGATTGCTCACATTTTGTATTCAATCGAGGACTGCCTGCCCGGTACTGACGATGCCCAATAGGCAGAAACAACTGTCTAACGGTGGCTCTTACATTGAAATCAATGTGGGAATGGTATCTATGGGAGAGGGAATAGTACTTATCTATTTATCTTTTGATTTTCATGGGATTATTTTCCAGCAGCTTGACTGCATTTATGTGATTCATCATACGTCGTATCAATCGGTTCGTCTGGTGACACTAGATCTTCAATGTTTCATAGGCTAATCAATGTAAGAAACAATTATATTTGTTTTCTTTCGGAAATTTCATTACAAGAGAAATATAATTCCATTCACTCTACATAGCAATATATATCTGTGACGCCCAGTTTGAAATGTTCAATACTTGCAATGATTATAGATTTGAGGATATTCCAAATTTTAGCGTGTGGTTGACATAACCACTACTCCTTACTTGTATTCGAATCAATTCTGACTGACCTAATGATTTCTTAGACTTTATTATACTCAGCACCACTATTACTCGTTAACAGTGTGTTATTAACATTAAATGTTCATTTAGAAGTTTTACAAAAATGCTTCATTTAAAACACTTCAAAAAATAAGATCCCGTTGAAAAAACATTACCCTCATTTTTCATGAAGTTATGCTTTTTTTAATTTACAAATTGTTCTTGGATTTTTGCTTTTATAAATGTCGAATAAAAGTTCAATTAATGTTTTCTTATATGCATACTCACGAAGATCATGGAGCAAAAGTTTATAAAACTTTTTTATTTTGTTTATTATATTTTTTTTAGTGATAAATTGAATACACATAAAAAAATTAAGGTAAAGCTTTTTTTAAATGTGTAAATTTTAAGTTTTTTACTTATTATGGAATGACGGTAAATAACTTTGGTTGCAACTTTTTTAAATCATTTGTTGGAAAATTGTTTGTAAAATATAGAAATTCAATAGGTAGGAAAAATTCATTTCGTCATTTTGTTGTAATATACGAAGACGCCATCTATGGGATCAAGAAAGAACTTTATCCTTGGATATCAACGATAAAAGAGGCTCTCCAAGGTGGTTAGTTGCAAAGCCAAGCTTCGACATCGGCCGCCAACGAGATTCGTCCTCTTTCTTTCACTGCAGCTTTCACCGCAAATTTACCAGTTGGAACCATTAGCCCATTCATGATTAAACACCAGACAGCGCTGTTTCGATCCGCCATAGGTCTTATCAGTGGTACTAGTGAATCACAAATGCGTTGCGACTGATCGCCTTGGAGCGCCTCGTTTATCTTTGATATTTGAGGGCTGAGTTCTCCGTCGATCCCATAGATGGCGTCTTCGTAAGGGGAGAAGTAGCCCTTCCTACTCAGGATTATCCTTTAAGGACAGTTGATTCCAGCAACGCATTTGTGATAAAGCCTAGCACCACTGATGAGACTTCAACTAGTAAAAATTAAAAACTTTCCCCAAACTGAAGACGCGTCTTTATAATGCTAAAGAATGCACATCTAAAAATATATCTCTTTCGAAAGAAAAGTGTCACGATACAAGAATTGCTGGAAGTTAAGAAAAAGTGAGATGTAATGAAATTGATATGAAAAAAATAAAAGACGTTATTTTAAATGATAACGATAATATTCAAATTCAAATGTCACTAAACATTTCAAATTCAACTGATGTTTTAATATAAAAATACACTGTAGCTCTAAAAGTTTAAAAAATCTACTGCAAAATTATCATTATCTATAAAGTTTAAAAATTCGGTTTTCAGTATGTTGAAATATAATTCTTATTTAACATTATATAACTTTTCAGATTGAAATTGATTTGGGAAGCGAAGCCAGATATCATTCAGTATTTGCCTGCCCAATTCTGAGACAGCAGTCCACAAAATTCAACCCCCCTATGAGACTGGTGTGTGGGCACGTAATATCAAGAGATGCTCTCAATAAACTTTGTAGTGGAAATAAGTATGTATTTTAATTATTTTTCATCATATGTCTGATTGTTGGTTTATTACATGATCCCTCACAATTAAATTCCACTATTTATTGTTTCAGAATGAAATGTCCGTATTGTCCCATGGAGCAGACTCCGGCAGATGCTAGACTTATATTTTTCTAACAATTTCATTATCCTGTGGTGGTATCTCATGTTTCAGTATAAAAATATTATTTAATTATTTATAATTATAATTTGTTGTTTAGATTTGTGAATAATAGAATTTAGGCGTACTTGAATTTGATTTTATAACATTTGTGATCTTTCCAGCTAGAAAAGAATAAAGTTGACTTTTTTACTGAATTTTAATTCAATTTTATTCTGTGACATCTCTCAACTGCACCATGCTTTACCTTCTGAATATAGCGTAACTCACGGTCGATGGTAGGTTAGACGCTTCTGGAAAACGCAAAGCATGATTTTTCTGAAAATTTCACCTCACATTTCTTTACCTGTTCTATCGATCTAAAATATTTTCAGCATTGCGGCGTTGCCACTCCTATCAAAAAGTCCTAGCAATTATATTTTTTTAAATGGAACACCCCGTATATTGATACATTTTTGGAATCGCTCTGGTATTTTAATACTTTTTTGTTAATAATGTCCTATACCTATCTCTATCTGTTTTCGAGATAAAAAATAAATTGTGATAAATATGGTCCAAAACATAGCCTTAATTGAAATTAAGTACATCAGTACTCTCAATTCATGAAAAGTTGATATT